CTTGTTTTGGTGTCAGAATATGTGTGTATCTTCCTGGGGATTAGGCAGGGTTTTTTCTTCTATTGAGTTGTTAACGAGTGGGGTTAAATGTCCAGCAGATGAGTAATTGACTCAACATGCCAACTAGACTTGCACCTGTTCTTTACAGTATATATGAAATGAAATCATTGCACAAACTGGGCCAGGACAGTCACTCATTCTTCTTGTGACAGGAGTTACAAGTGAAACTTGCATTGAAATCCTGAGTTTATTGGGGCTTCCTTCCAGTTAAGTCTGCCTCATTTTAGTGTTCTCCAGGTTTGCTGTGCAGCCCAAATTGCTGCTGTGTGCAAAAATAAGCTCTTGGCTGCATAGAGCCAATTGTGCTGTTGTCAAAAATGTATTTTGGAAGAAGAGAACAGCAACCACTTCCATAACACTGCCAAGATAAGTGTATGGACGCAGTCACCAGGAGTCAAGCTTGACTTAGGGATGGTCTTGGCATTCAGTCATTGGAACTGTTTAAACAGATATTTGTATTTTTATCCATACATACTTTGATTTGTTAACATGCATTGAATATCTTATCAGTAATTTCAGATTATTAGTAATAGTCATATTTTCCCATTCTTTTGTCATTGACATTTAAGTAGTCATGCTAATTCTATCTTTAATTAGAATTTAATTGAGTTATAGTAGATGTCTTAAAGGTGGAACAAAATCTTCATTTAAAAACTAAAGTAACCAGTTGTTTGACCTTGAGATCAGTCAGATAAAGACATGCATCTGTTCATTGATTGTAGTTAATATTTCTGGTATAACCAAAAAAAAAAAGTCTCTGTCATTAATAAGCCTTTATGAATGTAAGTGGACAGATTTTCCGGCTTTTGCTTATACTAATGTTAGATGTTGATGATGATAGCAGTAGGCTCAGAGAGTAGAAAGTCATTCTTTCCTTTACTAGAAAAGTAAGTCTCTTGTGCTTACTATTGTTTACTCTGAGCTTGATGGAGATAGCCATGGAGTAACTGGAAAGAACGCTAGAGAATCTCTCCTGTCTTTCTTTCTTCCTCTTCCCTTTCCCCCATGAAATACTTAGGCTTTCCTAGGATTTCATTAAATAAGTGTTTGCTAATTTAAAATTAGAAAAAGCTATGTTAATTGGGTAACCTAAGTAAGAAGGCAAAGAAGAGCGAGAGGAAACAAGGGCTAAATATAAAGGTGAATGTTCTGGCTCTGCCAATCTCAAGATCCTCCTGTGAGTAGGAGGGGAACCAAAGGCTGGATTGCAACACTCCAGGCAAGGACTGGAGACTGCAGAAATGATTGTACTTCAGGAACATATGCAGTATGTTGTGCCTGATTTGCAAATACAGGTAGTCCACAGTTTAAGAATGAATTCTGTTTCCAAGGTCTGTCCATAAGTCTAATCTATATGAAAGCTGGAATAGTATTATTGTATAATACTGTATAAGTAGTATTGTGTAATGAACTCGAACCACTGTGTATT